GCACACATTGCTGGGTTCAGTCTGAGGGGACGGGGCCATGCACACATTGCTGGGTTCAGTCTGAGGGCGGGGCCATGCACACGTGCTGGAGTTCAGTCTGAGGGACAGGACCATGCACACATTGCTAGGTTCAGTCTGAGGGACAGGGCCATGCACACATTGCTGGGTTCAGTCTGAGGGGACGGGGCCATGCACACATTGCTGGGTTCAGTCTGAGTGGGCAGGGGCCATGCACACATTGCTGGGTTCAGTCTGAGGGACAGGGCCATGCACATGTGCTGTGTTCAGTCTGAGGGGACAGGGCCATGCACACATTGCTGGGTTCAGTCTGAGGGGACAGGGCCATGTACACATTGCTGGGTTCAGTCTGAGGGGACAGGACCATGCACACATTGCTGGGTTCAGTCTGAGGGGACGGGGCCATGCACACATTGCTGGGTTCAGTCTGAGGGGACGGGGCCATGCACACATTGCTGGGTTCAGTCTGAGGGGACAGGGCCATGCACACATTGCTGGGTTCAGTCTGAGGGGACAGGGCCATGCACACATTGCTGGGTTCAGTCTGAGTGGGCAGGGCCATGCACACATTGCTGGGTTCAGTCTGAGGGGACAGGGCCATGCACATATTGCTGTGTTCAGTCTGAGGGGACAGGGTCATGCACACATTGCTGGGTTCAGTCTGAGGGGACAGGGTCATGCACACATTGCTGGGTTCAGTCTGAGGGGACAGGGCCATGCACAAAGTGAGGCAGGAGGTTGGGAGATACCAGGCAAAGTAGGCACCCCCTACAGGACAGGCATCTGTCTACTATGCGTGATGGGAAATTTGCAGATTTAAATTTAATGACATGCTTGCTCTGCTCTTGCTGGTGATTTATCTCTTCCATAAGTGGAATATCCATGGACAGAAGACAGAATATCCATGGAGACAGGCAGGGCTGCCTTATACAGTTTAGGGACTGAGTCCTGAGTTTTCCCATAGGATGCAGTGTGTCTATAATGAACGTATTGTGTGTGTGTATTTAGAGGATGATATGTGTAAGTGTAAATCAGATGCAGACTGTGTGTGTGTTTAGGTTGCAGTGGATGCAATGTGTGTGTTTGTGTGTGAAGTGGAGGCAGAGTATTGTGTGTGCAGTGGATGTAGTGTGTGTGTTCAGTGGGTACAGAGTACAGTGGATGCAGTGTGTGCAGTGGATGTAGTGTGTGTGTTCAGTGGATGCAGTGTGTGCAGTGGATGTAGTGTGTGTGTTCAGTGGATGCAGTGTGTGCAGTGGATGTAGTGTGTGTGTTCAGTGGGTACAGAGTACAGTGGATGCAGTGTTTGCAGTGGATGTAGTGTGTGTGTTCAGTGGGTACAGAGTAAGGTTGATGCAGTGTATGCAGTGGATGTAGTGTGTGTGTTCAGTGGGTACAGAGTACAGTGGATGCAGTGTGTGCAGTGGATGTAGTGTGTGTGTTCAGTCGGTACAGAGTACAGTGGATGCAGTGTGTGCAGTGGATGTAGTGTGTGGAGTTGATGTAGTGTGCAGACATCCCAACATGCCAAAACTCATTTGAGGGAGGTAGTGTCACAAGCTATTTGCGAGGTGAACTTTACAGACATGATGAGACAATGACACAGAGCGCATCCTGATTGGTCTCTCTTTGCGCTGTGTCATTGTCTCACTACATCTGTCACTCAGTTTCTTCATAATCTGGAGCTGACATAGCAGGGGCGAATCCAGAACATAAACTCAGAAGTGGCACTGGTAGTGGGTTGTAGTGGGGGTGATAGAGGCTGTAACTGAGGCATTACAGGCTGCAGTGGGGAGTTAGAAAACATAGTAGGACATAAGGGCTAATAGGGTGGTAAGGGCTGTAATATGGGGGGTTAAGGGCTTAAATAGGTGGATGGCTGCAACTGCAGAAAGGGGATGTAGTGTTGGGGATATGGACTGCAATTGGGGGGGAGGGGCAAGTTGGGGTAAGAGAGGAGGTAGTGGGAGAGATTGAGGCTGTAATGGGAAGTATAGGGGCTGTAATAGGAAGGATAGGGGCTGTAGTAGGGGAGTTCAGGGTTGTAATTGGGGGCAAGGAACTGTAGTGGGTCGCATGGGCTGCGATTGGGAGGATGGGACTGTAGAGGGGCATAAGGGCTGTGATTGGGTGGATGGGACTGTAGTGGGGCTTAGAGGCTGCAATTGGGGGGTTACATAGAGTCTCAGTAGTGATTTCACTGTCTGGAATGTCTGCTCCGCTCACTCCCTCTTCAAACTGCAGTCTGATACTCGGAGGTACTACGCCCCTCGGGCCAAACCATAGTTAGTCACCTCGCATTGTGGCATAGGGAAGGCCTCACCTGTCACTCCTATTCTATCTTATGTTTAACTGTCACTGAGAGGCCGACACCCCGCCACAAAGTTTCAGTGGCCACGATATCCCCTCGCGCCAACGCATAGATAGAGCCTCTCACGCACATTGGCATCTAGCAGGGCCTCACCAACTTAGTTTAATTGTTTCACCGCCTTGCGGCACTAGCTAGCTAGCCAGCTACACTGGTCCTACACTTACTCTGGTCCTTTTTCTTGCTCTGATTTCTCGCTTCTTTATTTTAGCATGGATCAAGTACAGGAAGGTGGCGAAGACTTGTTACAGACTGGCACTCCGGCTAGGTCTGGTACTCCTTCTCGCAGGGGAGATTCTGCCACGCCTGCTTCTTTCGGATCCTGGTCTATTCTTCGCAACGTCAGCTCCCGTTCCTGTCAGGGATCCGCGGTCTCCCCTCGTCTCCTCTCTGCCGCTCGCCGCTTGGGTCCTCCACGCCCCCCAGCGGCAGCATGTATAACGCTGCACGCTGGGAGGACACAAATTTATGCAAACGCCTGGGTCACGTGAGTGACCCGGCGTTAAAGAAACAGTACTTCAATCACAGTGGGAGGTATAGATATCCCCCACGTGTGATTGTTAATTCTGATTGGAAGTTATCCAATCAGAATTAAACCTAGGGTATTTATACTTACCTTTCCTGTCCCTCAGTGCCCTGTTGTGGTCTTGTGATACCTGTAACGTAGTGTTCTCGTCTTGCTCTCTGGTTACTGATTATTTGGCTCGTTATTCCGATTATCCTGTCTTCTCCACTCCTTTGACCTCGGCTTGTTTCTCGTTCTCCCGTTTTCTGGCTCCCTTTACTTGGCTTGTCTCCTGACCATTCTTAGTGTGCTTAGCCCGGCCACTCTAAGGACCGGTATAGCACCCTTCCTGTCTGTGACCTGTTAGCGTGTTAGGTTCTGGAATCGTGACATTACAACAGGGCCACCATGGAACCTGCTGACATTCCACAGCTGTTAGTAAATCAGGAGGCTAGAATGGATGGTTTAGACCACCGTATGGATCAGTTTGCTCAGGCTTTACAAACCATACTGGCTCGTACTGCCCACTTGCAACCTGCCGTTCAAGAAGCTGTTGCTGCTGTGTCAGAACCCATTCCTGATCCAGTACCCGCTCCTGTTCACGTGGTTCACATGATGCCACCTCAGCGCTATAGCGGTGATCCAGCATTGTGCCGTGGTTTCCTCAACCAAATTGATATTCATTTGGTGATGAATCCTCGTTCTTACCCCACTGACAGAACCAAAATTGCTTTTTTGATTAACCATTTGTCCGGGAAAGCTCTAGCATGGGCTAATCCCATGTGGGAGAATACGTCCCCAATGTCCTTTGCAGACTTCTTAACAGCTTTTAAACGTACGTTTGATCAACCCGGCCGGGTTGCTTCTGCTGGCAAAGCTCTGCTTAGGGTTCGACAGGGTAATAGATCTGTAGCGGATTATACTATTGAATTCCGCACTCTGGCAGCTGAAGTGGTCTGGAATAACGACGCTCTCGTAACAGCTTTTCAGGAGGGTTTGGCCGCTTACATATTAGATGAAATAGCATCCAGGGAAATGCATGTTCTTCTGGATGATCTAATAGATTATGTCATTCTAATTGACAACCGTATTAGAGAGAGGCGTAGTCAAAGAAGGATGAATACACAGGGGTTACCTGCTTTACCCAGTACTGCATTACTAGCGTTACCTCCCCCTAATCAACCACCTCCCGAACCCATGCAATTAGGTGCTGTAGGCTTATCTGAAGCTGAAAGAACGTACCGCAGAAGGGAGGGTTTGTGCCTTTATTGTGGAAAGAGGGGGCATCTCCGAAGAAACTGTCCTAGTTTGCAGGGAAACTTCAGCACCTAAGGCCTAGAGAGGGGTCGGCCTCGGGTGTTATGGTTTTTTCCCCTCATGTGTCCATCTCCAGACCATTCATCACGGTTACTCTTTTGGTCAAGAAAACCACGATAACAACTAAAGCCTTGATCGATTCAGGTGCTGCAGACAACTTTATGGATGAGAACTTTGCTAAAACCGCAGCCTTGAATCTGATCCAAAAGGCCACACCCCTAGATGGTAGACCACTTGAGAAACCTCTGGTGACCCATGAAACCCAAGAAATGGTTATGGTCGTGGGTGCCTTACACAAAGAAAGGATAACCTTCCAAATAATTGACTCCCCTACAGCTTCCATCATTCTGGGCTTCCCCTGGTTAGTTAAGCATAACCCGGTACTTGATTGGGATTCTCTAGATATACTCTCCTGGGGGGTATCTTGTCAACAAGACTGTATGGCCCGTTTACATCCCGTTTGTTTACTTAATGTGCCTACAGCTAAACCACTTTCTGTTTCTGTCCCTCCTGTGTATGCAGACCTCGCATTGGTCTTTGAAAAGAGGGAAGCTGATAAACTACCCCCACACCGGGATTATGATTGTGCCATAAATCTGTTGCCTGGTACGATGCCTCCTAGGGGTAAGGTCTACCCGCTTTCTGAGAAAGAAAACCAGGTCATGGAGGAGTACATACAGGAATCCTTACATAAAGGTTTTATCAGAAGGTCCTCCTCTCCGGCTGGTGCTGGTTTCTTTTTTGTTGCCAAGAAAGAGGGTGATTTGAGGCCATGTATAGACTATAGGGGCC